TGGGTTGGTTGGTGGGTGGGTTGAATTGGGTTGGTTGGTTGATTAGTTGGTTGGGTTGGGTTGGGTTGGTTGGTTGGTTAATTGATTTATTGGTTGGGTTGGTTGGTTGGTTGATTATGTACCTGTCAGGACTCCAACAAATCCACCTCCATTCAAATCATAAGTCTCCAGCCGCATCTCTCAGAGTAAAAAAAAATGTTTTATTAGGAATGGCCAAGTTGACGTTAGCTGGGTGCAGCTGACACTAAAATACATCATTCATTTCCCCCTTGACCCTGGTCTTCCTCCCACCCCCTGGATGTATATTCTCCAATGGGACACATCCATAGCCAAGAGTCATCAATCATGCTCTCCAGTAATATTGTTGCACTCCAACAGCTTTGGGCTGCTAAGGGGATTATCTGATGCATTTAAGGAATGCACTGCTTTTCCCCACTCCCTTTCTGCTGGCAACTAAAAAGACCAAAGGAATATTTTTTTAGTTGATATTACCATCAAGTTGGTATCAGCTTCCATCAACCATATAAGACAATTTTATCCCCAACGTGTCTTGATTAATAACCCCAGATTGGGCCCAGGGCAGATTTGCTTTAGGTTACACATGGGTAATGACTAAAAAGGATACATGTGCCTTGATACTTAGGAGGTCCTTCCCAACTTCCACACTGATTCAACCATTTTTCTGTTCTAGGTGGACTTCATTCGGTTCCAACCAACCAACCCGAAGATGTGCTAGTGGATACGGGTAACTATTGTTCTATCCGTTGTAAATTCTGGTATCTTTCTGTCTGTTTTTGGCCCTTGCTATCTGTAGCAAACCAACATAAGATGCTTGGGTTGCCCAGAAAGGCTTCACTTGGTGTTGAATTATTTGGCTTTCTGAATTTGCTCAGTGAGTTGACTTGTAGGTTTATTGATCAAAATGCATTTAATCCCTGAGAAAACTTATCAAGTTAACATTAGCCAAGTTTTAGCATTCCGGGATAACACAACTGCTAGTTATATAGAGGCTCTGGTTAGCTGTATTGTGTGTGAAAACAGAATGGGTAGCATTTTTGCATTAATCTGGAAATCCTCCCTCCAGCTTCCTCTTTTATGTGTTCTTCTTCCCATCACCAATGCCCTGGGAACCAAAAGTGATCATTGCAGTTGTTGGTGGGATTATAGGAGGAACCATAATATTGACTGAAATAATCCTCTGGATTTACATCCTAACCTGTAAGTATTGTAAGATCTTCCAAACTGGGTATTTTGCAGTCCTAACTTTCAGTGATTGCAGGGGGGAAAGTGCCTTGAATGGAGAAGACTTGGGGACCTGCAAAAATTGGAGATGTTTTCTTCTGTTTAGAAATCTTGTTTAGATATTTTTGCTTCTGTAACCACTTAACTTTAGAAGAATATATCTGTAGCTAACCACAGGTGTTCTCTATTCTGTACAGTGGTAGATTTGTTTTCTGTACAGATGCAGATAGATAAACTCAACGAAACATCCATAACGAAGTATTTTTATTGGTTCATCAGGTATCCTCATAACTCACATTTGTGACAAAGTTCTTCTTTAATGACCAATCCTTTGCATATCTGTCTTGTAGGTAAAAAGATGGTTATCTGCTATCCTTTTTCCCTCATCTCATAGCGATAGAGGTAGAACAGTTACCATGAGTCCGTGAGTTCAGCCAGGAGTGAGGAAACCTCCCCCAACCCATTGAGGGTCAATTTAGTGACCAATCAGGATTACAGAGGTGGTCACGTGACATGGACTACATTTCCCAGGATACCTTAACTACATTTACCATGATGCATTCCCTTAAGGGGACAGCTCACAATTCTAATTAACTATCCAATTCCCATACACTGGCTGGACAGCACAACGGGCCTAGGAGGAGTCTTATCTTTTCTAATTGATCAAATTGGGAAGATTGACAAGTTGTCCCAGAGATGCTTTTTTTTCGAGAGGAAACTGGGCTTTCTTGATTATTATTATATATATTTTGGCCTTAAAGACGTTTTACTTCTCAACCAAGCAGCTTCTTCAGTTCTGTCTCAATGACTCTCAGGAAGAGCACTAACGACCAGAGGACCGCAAGAAATATAAATCCTTCCTTCCTCCACCATTCAGTCAGAACTGAGGAAGCTACTTAGATGAGAAGCGAAGCATCTTCAAGGAAAAAGCAAGAAAGTCCAGCTGCCTCTCGGAAAAAAAGCACCTCTGGGACAGTTTTGCTGATGGCTTCGTGGTGGAGAGGCTGACAATTTGCCGTCTTCCCACAGATAATAGATGCCGGAACGACAAGAATTCTGCTCCAGATGAGGCTTCGTCTGAACCTCCGTTTTCAGTCTGTGACAACACTTTCCCACCTCTGGGGGTGAGACTTTGAATGCTTTAATCTCGATGATATTTCATACATAAACACCAGGATTAAAATAAAAGGGGTAAATCAAAGGTAGCCCTCGACTGATGACCTCAATCGAGGCCAACGTATTTGTTTAAGTGAATTTTGCCCCATTTTACGACCTTTTTTTGCTGTTAAATGAATCACTGCATGGTTGTTAAGCAGAGCTGGCTTCCCCATGGACTTCGCTCATCAGAAGGTTGCAAAAAGGGATCACGTGACCTCAGGGCACGGTCATAAATGTGAGTCAGTTGCTACATGTCTCAATTTTGATCACGTGACCGCTTGGGAATGCTGCAACGGTCCTAAGTGTGGGGAAAAAACGGCCGTAAGTCACTTTTGTGCAGCGCCGTCATAACTTCCAATGGTTACTCAATGAACTGATGTTACGCCAAGGGCTAGCTGGGCTTTCGTTCATTTAACAAGAGTTCAAAGTTATGACGACCTCAGAAAAAAAAATACTTGTGACCAGGGGTGGGATTCAAATTTCTTAACAACAGTTCTGTGGGCGTGGCCTAATTTGTGGGTGTGTCTTGGTGGTCATGTGACTGGTTGGGCAAGGCTTGTATGTAAATATTATATGTTTATATTATATTATATATTATATTATATGTATGTAAACATTGAATTCTTTTATAAAAAAAGAGCCACTTTTAACCCAACATCAGGCAAAGCAGGGAGGCAGATTGTGTTGCTCACAGAATCAGATTCACTTAGAGATCTATCAATCTGCAATCTGCTACCTAAATCTGTCACATAAAATTTGCTTGCAAGCAAACTCACAAAATTAGTTCACAACACACCATGTATGTAAATATTGTATTTTTTTTTTTATAAAAAAGAGCAACTTTTAACCCAAAATCAGGCAAAGCAAGCAGGTTGAGTTGCTCACAGAATCATAGATTCACTCAGAGTTCTACCTTTCTGCAATCTGCTACCTGAGTCTGCACGGAAAAATAGAAGCTTCGGTCCTAAGAAAGGTTCAGCTGGGCTTTTAGATTAGCTAGAAAGCAAGAAATCCAATGATTTCCTGCTTTCTAGCTAATCTAAATCTTCCCGCACAGCTGATAGTCAGAACAGATGATGGTTGGGGGCGGGGAGGAAAGGAAAAATAGCAACTTACCAAACTCAGGCAAGTGTGATGGCACGCATGCCAGGTAAGGAGTGAATGGGCAGGGAGGTGGGGAGAGGGGCCAGCCAGTGGTGCAATTTGCCGATTCTCTGAACTGCACAGAATCATAACAGCCAGTTCTATACATCTGGTCTGAACAGGTAGAATCCTATCCCGTTTGTGACTTGTCCCGCACGATTGGAATTTGGTCACAGGATAACCAGTGTGTAGCATCCTATAGTCACCTGATCACAATTTACAACCTTCCCAGCTGGTTACCTACCAAATTTCCGTTACTAAGCAGATCATCAACTTTGTGGTATTTTTCCGAAAGTTGTTAAGCGGTCGTTAAGCGAATCACGCAATCATTAAGCCAGTGCAGCTATCTCCCATGACTTGGTTTGTCAAAAGCTGCCTGGGGAGGCCACAAATGGTGATCAGTTGACCCCGGAATGCTGTATCCATCATAAATAGATTCCGGTTGCCAAAATACCTGCATTTTGACCATGGAGATGCTGCAAAGGTCGTAAGTACAAGGACCGGTCGTAAGTCACTTTTTTTTCAGTGCTGTTCCAACTTTGAACCATTGCAAAATGAATAGTCATAAGTAGAGGAATTCCCCTGCAACTTGGATTATAGCGGGGGTCTCCCACCTTGGCAACTTTAAGACTTGTGGACTTCAACTCCCAGAATCCCTCAACGAGCAAAGAATTCTGGGAGTTGAAGTCCACAAGTCTTGAAGTTGCCAAGGTGGGAGACCCCTCTGGATTAGAGAGTCGATCCAATTGTTAGAATTCAGAAATTGAGTCCTTCAGGTATTCGCTAACTTTAATAACAAATATCTCTCTCTTTTCCCACCTTAGGACTGCTCAGAGCATATGACTTATATTAACGACGCATGTGACGTAAGTAAAGAGTTGCTAAGGTTAAAATGATCCTGTTTATACACTGGCTGGGGGAGGCAGATCAATAAGAAATGGCTTAAACTCAAGACACAAAGTTCATCCAAGTAAGAATGTATTGAGAGAAATCATATTGGCGCCTCTGGGAAAACCCCAAATCTGAGAGTTCCGGGTTTTCCCTTCCTAGTTGAAAATGCAAAACTCATCCCCCTGCACCCATCAGTCCATCATGTGGTCCAGTCACCTGGTCATCCCAGCTGGAGACATTCCTCCAACCACTCCTATCCCAGGCACAGGATGGCACGGCATTGACTCAGAAGAAGAACGTCCTTATGTCTAAACTTCCGCCTGTCTTTAAAATCCGCCCTCCCAGTTTCCCAGGCACTAAGCTTCTAAGAAAAATGGCTTCCAAAGCTGACACATTATTTATTTCGATTTGTATTCCATGTTTACTTCTATTTAAAGTAACCCAAGCTGGAGAAGATATCCAATACTCTTTCCTCCTTCGGTTTTCTCCACAACAACCATCCTGGGAGGTGGGTTGGCCTGAGAGGGGGTGATTAGCCCAATGTCACCCAGTTGGCTTTCATGCCTAAAGCGGAACTAGAATTCATCATCTCCTGGTGATTGTTCCAAAGTCACTCAGTTAGCTTTTATGCCTAAAATGGGACTAGAACTCCCAGTCTCCTGGTGATTGTCCCAAAGTCACCCAGTTGGCTTTCCTGCCTAAAATGAAATTAGAACTCACAGTCTCCTGGTGATTGTCCCAAAGTCACCCAGTTGGCTTTTATGCCTAAGGCGGAACTAGAATTCACCATTTCACCATCTCCTGGTGATTTTCCCAAAGTCACCCAGTTGACTTTTATGCCTAAAATGGGACTAGAACTCCCAGTCTCCTGGTGATTGTCCCAAAGTCACTCAGTTAGCTTTTATGCCTAAAATGGGACTAGAACTCCCAGTCTCCTGGTGGTTGTCCCAAAGTCACCCAGTTGGCTTTCCTGCCTAAAATGGGACTAGAACTCCCAGTCTCCTGGTGATTGTCCCAAAGTCACCCAGTTGGCTTTCATGCCTAAGGCGGAACTAGAATTCACCATCTCCTGGTGATTGTCCCAAAGTCATTCAGTTGGCTATCATGCCTAAGGCGGAACTAGAATTCACCATCTCCTGGTAATCGTCCCAAAGTCACCCAGTTGGCCTTCCTGCCTAAAATGGGACTAGAACTCACCGTCTCCTGGTTTCTAAGCTAGCCACCTCACCACTGCATCAAACTGATCTTCATAACCTTCATGAAAAGCACTTCTAGATCTTGCAACATAAGTGAATTGTGCTGATTTTCAGACAATGTGCATCCTTCCACCACGAGAAATTAAATCATATACTCCTCAGCTGTGGTCAGAAAAGTCAAAATGGCAGCCTCAGCGGTGTCATAGAAGCCCCATCCAGTTTTTCACATGCTTTCCATGTACGATGCCCATACAGCAGGAACAGCATTTCGGTTGTCCCCATTGCAGCTGCCATCTTGATTTTTTTGGGGGGGGGGGGCTACGACGTAACCTGTCGATGCCCCAGCAGGTGCTCAAGAAATCAAGTCAACCATCTGATGGGTTTGATGTTGGAAATTTTCAGGTGGACTTCTCCTGTGATTGTGGAATGGATGGATCAGGCGACGGCGGAGAATAACAGCGGCCAAACCAACCAGTTTCCCCGTATTCATTTTTGCACTGATTTGTTCCCGGGGTTGTCTTTTAAAAAGGGCCAAGATACGTTTTCTCTAAGCTGCCAACCAAATTGCCTTTCTTCCTCCGAATCTCATCCTTTCAAAAAATAATAAATCGTATCTCATTTCATAAAGACTCAATATTTTTTCTTTTAACGATCCCGTAATCTCTTCCATCGGGGTGGAATGATTGGAGCTGAGCGTTTACTGGCCAGATACCCTTCCTGATGCCTATGTGGAGTTCACAGCAGATCTTTTCTCTTTGCGTCCAGAGAGAGAAATAACCTGCCACTACCTAGAGTTAAACCATAAATATGAAACCAAAAACAGCCTGTATTATGTAACAGGTAGTCCTCAACTTACAACACTTTGTTTAATGAATGTTGGAGTTACAATGGCACTCAAAAAAATAATTATGACCATTTTTCATACTTACGACTGTTGCAGCATCCCCACAGTCACATAATCAAAATTCAGATGCTTGGCAGCTGACCAATATTTATGACAGTTGCAGTGTTCCAGGGTCATGTGATCAATTTTTGCGACCTTCTGACAAACAAAATCCATGGGGAAACCAGATTCACTTAACAACCGTGGCAAGAAAGGTTGTAATACAAGGCAAAATTCATTTAACAATTGTCTCGCTTAGTAACGTAAATTTTGGGCTCAATTGTGGCCATAAGTCGAGGACTACTTGTTATTCTATAAAAAGGAAACCTAGAACAACCCGTGTTTTATTATTCTTACCAATATATGGATGATTTCTTATCCCTGGATATGTATTTGTGTTTACAAAGACTAAAAAATGGTGCTTGTGGGAAAAGTTGGCCACACAATCATTTTTAATAAAAGCAGCTATGTTTTGAAGAATAAATCCCGCTGGATTGTCACTTCAAGCAGTGAATCATGTCATGTTCATATCCCATTCTTTTATTTATTTCCAAAATTAATATTCTACCCGAGCCTAATGGACCGTGGAGGAAGGATTGCGGGGGGAGGGGAGAGCAATAGAAATAAAACATAAAATACAATAATCCCATAAAGTTTAAAATATGACAATGCACAAAGAAACAACGAAAGGCCCAAAACAAACTAAAATATGGCGGGTTTTTCAGATGTTTGCAAAATGCAAGCAGAAACGGGGCCATTTGTATCTCCTGAGTAAAGGATGGGTGGGTGAGTGGATAGACAGAATATTACAAATATTTGGAACCCCTGTATTATAGTCATGGACCAATATCACAGGTAATAAATAGCCAAAAAAGGCAAGTGTTTGAGAAGACTAACAAGGGTGATGAGGGGACCGGAGGCTAAAACATACTGTATGAAGAACGGTTGCAGGAACTGGGTATATCTAGTCGTCTAATGAAAAGCAGGACTAGGGGCGACATGATAGCAGCCTTCCAATATCTCAGGGGCTGCCCCAAAGAAAAGGGAGTCAAGCTATTCTCCAAAGCACATGAAAACAGGACAAGAAGCAACGGATGGACACTAATCAAGGAGAGAAGCAACTTAGAACTAAGGAGGAATTTCCTGACAGTTAAACAATTAATCAAGTGCCTCTAGAAGTTGTGGCTGCTCCATCACTGGAGGTTTTTAAGAAGAGAATGGACAACCATTTGTCTGGAATGATATAGGTTCTCCTGCTTGAGCAAGGGGTTGGACTAGAAGACCTCCAAGGCCCCTTCCAACATTGTTATTCTGTCATTTGCACAGGGGATGGTGGGGGAGGGAAGGACCGTGTTTTTGTGTTTCCCCTCCCAAATTATACAAACACTGTTACCAATTTTACAAACTCAACCATATTTCCCAAAGCTCAACCATTTTGAGAGGTGTTTGGACCTCAACTCTCAGAATCCCCCAGCTGGGCGAATATCTAGAATAATGGAAGCCCATCCATCTTAAAATGGCGAAGGTCAGTGTTCCAGAAAAACCCCACTCCAATTAAAAACTCCGAGACAGGCATTTTCTCAAAGTTTCCTTTTATTAGAGTAGTTATACTGGCACATCTAGGAAAACCCGAATCTGAAAGTTCCGGGTTTTCCTCCAATAAGTAAAAAAATTACAAATCCACCCCCTGCACTTATCATTCCATCACATGCCCCAATCAACATCCGTTCCACCTTGAGACATTCCCCTCTACTACTTCTCAGCCAGGTGCAGGAATAACATGACCTTGATTTTAAAGAAGAATGTTATTATGTCTAACCACGAAATCCACCCCTCTAACCATGAAATCCACCCCTCCCATTTTTCCCAGGTTCAAGAATGTGGCAGCACAGAAGCTTCTGGTACTAATATGGCTTCTGACAGACAAACTCAGAGAAATTCTGAACCAGAGTTTCGGGTGGATGAAAAGATGAAAGCTCTCCCCCACACCCACATCTATGCACAGGGCATGTGGTCAGAAAAGTCAAGATGGCAGCCGGCTGAAGCGCCCCCTGTGGGTCATGATTTATTTCATTTCATTTATTTATTTATTTGTCAATAGCTTACAAGATAATAAACGTAAATACAGGAAATGGGTACGAATAATTGGGGACAATAGGACTGGGACGATAGCAGAGGTGGGATTCAATTTTTTTTACTAGCGGTTCTGTGGGCATGGCATGGTGGGCACTGCAAGGGAAGTTTACTGCAAAATCCCCTTTCCCTCCCCACCCCACTAACCTGCTTTCCAGCTCCGTTCTCCTTTGCAGAGCAACCAAAGAAGACCCAGCCAATCAGCTGGGACTCGGGAGGCAGAAAATAGATGGGGGCGGGGCCAGTCAGAGGTGGGATTGGCCAGTTCTCTGAACTACTCAAAATTTCCGCTACCAGTTCTCCAGAACTGGTCAGAACCTGCTGAATACCACCTCTGGACGGTAGGAATGATTGTGCGCTTATGCACGCCCCCTTACAGACCTCTTAGGAAGTGGGGTGAGGTCAATAGTGGTTAGTTTGAGGAAAAAGGAGTGGGGGTTAGAGGATGTAACTACAGAGTCAGGTAGTGTGTTCCAGGCATTGACCACTCTTGCTGAAGTCATACTTTCCGCAATCAAGTTTGTAGAGGCGTACATTAAGTTTATATCTATTGCGTGCTCTTGTATTGTTGCAGTTGAAGGTGAAAATGTCATTGATTGGTAGTACATTAAAGCAGATTATTTTATAAACCATGCTTAAGTCAAACCATAGTGAGGCGTAGTTCTAGGCTTTCCAAATTCAAAACCTCAAGCCTGGTGGTGTAGGGTATTCTGTTGCGAACAGAGGAGTGTAGTACTCTTCTTGTGAAATACTTCTGGACATGCTCAAGTATATTAACGTCCGATATACAGTGTGGATTCCAGACAGCCGAGCTGTATTCAAGTATTGGTCTAGCAAAGGTTTTGTATACCCTAGTTAGTAATTCAGTATTAACCAGAGGAGAAATTTCTTAAGATTAGATTTCCAACTCTTGAAGCTTTTTTGGCAATGTTGTTGCAGTGAGCTCTTGCGCATAGATGATGTGATTGGGATTGTCATCTTCAGTTTTTTGTGGGGGGATGTTTGCAGATCCTGCAGCCCAGAGGATGGAAAATATTTAAGTCTCGCCCCTGGCTGTGCAGCACCTGGCTCATCCATTCTTTTAGCAACTGTCACAACCAGCAAATTCTGCTCATGTCTGGAAGTGGGAATCCTGCTGCTTCCTTACCATTCTGACTGAAAACTCTCTCACACACAAACGTTATTTTGCAAATGTAAAACCAGCACTGCTACGAAAACAAATAATAATTTTGTGGTGCAACCGGGTTCCCTATTATTGATCACAACATGGGCTGTGTGTTCCTTTTGTCCACAGAGCAGGAACAGGCTGGCTTTGGTTTGCAACTGATGTTACTGCTATAATCTAGGACGAAAGAAAATAGTAAAACAGAAGGAAAAAACTGCCGATGTTCCTCGAAAATAAATAAACCCACCAACACAGAAGGAAAAAAACAAAATGCATAGGAATGGAACTGACATCCTGATATTTCAAGGTAAGCACAGGACCACAATTGAGCCCCAAATTTCTGTTGCTAAGTGAGACATTTGTTAAGGGAGTTTAGCCACTTTTGTTAAGTGGATCACTACAGTGGATCACAACATGGTTGTCCCGTGAATCTGGTTTCCCCGTGGACTTTGCTTGTCAGAAGGTCGCAAAAGGAAATCACCTGTCCCAGGAACACGGCAATTGTCATAAATACCAGTCAGTTGCCAAGCATCTGAATTTTGATCCCATGATCATAAGTGTGAAAAAGGTCATAAGTGTGAAAGACGGTCATAAGTCACATTTTTCAGTGCCATGACAACTGAACCGTGGTTAAGTCAAGAACTTCCTGGGTTTAGAGGCAGGAAAAAAAAAGGGATTGGAAGCCTTTTCAGTATGCATAACATTTTATCTTATTTTAAAGGGAGTTGAAAACAGCTAATTTGGGGAGCGGGGTGGATTGGAGGTTAGGCTTTTAACTACTGTCTTGGACAGAGCAGTCCCGGAAACTATTTGTAAGATGCAAAATGGTTGTTTTTTTTAAAAAAAATGGTTTTTTTTCTTTCTTTTTCTGCAATGTTCTTGACATCCTTTGACAATGAGAAGGGTAGCAAGAAATGTTCAGTATATAACTTGAAATCAAATTAAATCTTTATTACCGCCACTGTATGCAACGACTTCTTGTCTTTGTCCTTCCATCCCTTCAGAGTTGGGTCTAAATTATGTGTGCAAAAGGCCGGCACCAACACATAAATTGGAGCCCTTTGTAACTAGTAAACCTGCCATGAACATCAAATGATGCTTTCACCTGAAGTGGAATGACTCATGTTCTTTTAGCAAATAATACATAATATATATACTAATTCTGAATGTAGTGAATATGCATTCCTTACTTTTCCATTACCACCTGGGCATCTAACCACACCTCTTTGGGAAGGGCAGGTAGGTGTTGATTCATTTGCAGAAGGTTGAGTGGCCAGAGGTGACCACATACTGGTTTCCTGACATATAAAAGCTTGAATTTTCCTGGTGGTACCAGATTCGGTTTTGAACAAAAGAAGAGGAAAAATTGCCAGCCTCCCAGTGTGGAGAAAGCCACCTTGCTTGATGGACGGTGTACGCAGTAACCTTGGATGGAGAAGCTCCTGGTGGATGGTGCTTTGGGCAGGTATGGATGGGAACCTCGAGTAGCAAAGGCTGGATGTGATCTTTGGAGGGGGAATAAAATCCTCATTATAATTCCTGGTGTATCTACGAGAGAGAGAGAGAGAGAGAGAGAGACAGAGACAGAGACAGAGACAGAGACAGAGACAGAGAGACAGAGAGAGAGAGACAGAGACAGAAAGAGACAGAGACAGACAGAGAGAGGCAGAAAGAGAGACAGAAAGACAGACAGAGAGACAGAGACAGAGACAGAGACAGAGAGACAGAGAGAGACAGAGAGACAGAGACAGAGACAGAGAGAGACAGAGAGAGACAGAGAGAGAGAGAGAGAGAGAGAGACAGACAGACAATCTACATAAACAGTGTGTTGTCTGGGTGCAGTGAATTTTGAGAAATAGTAATGATAATAATAATGATCTTCATAACATTTATAATAATCACATCATCATCATCATAGCATTTGCTTATCCATTTTAGTAAACCTTCCTTATATAATTCGTCATCCTCCTAAGCTTTTAAATTTCTAACTTCTGTTTGTTTGTTAGCCACTGGTAAAACACATCCCATGTTAAAAAGTATTCTGTTTCTTCCTTCGCCTTAATTTTAAGTGTTAATCTATCCATTTCTGCACATTCTAATGTTTTTTTTAAATTACACTTTCATCCGTACCTCTTCATTTCATCTCTTCATTTTTCCACTGTTGTGCAAACAGTGTTGCCGATGATAATTACTATTGAGTCTCAAAATCCATGGAAGTGCCAAAGGTCTACTTTTCCATGTCTCAGAAGGCAATCAATGTTTTTTCTTCATTAACATTTAGCCGTTATAAGGTCCTCTGGTGTCATTAACCTGCTTTGCTAAGCATAGTTTGGGATTAGCAAGTCATGCGAACCAACCATGGTGGTTTAACCCCAGTTAAACAAATGGCAACGGTCACCAGATGTTGGGGTGTGGGGGTTAAATTCCTCCAAGTGTTAACCACATTGCTTTTTCAATTTTTTTTTTTTAATTTGGTTGATATGGTGTTTTCTAATTTCTCCTGCAGGATAGTAAGGGTGGCTTTATTGATATGAAGATCTGTGATGGAGCATGCAAAAGCATTGTGCAGAAACCTTTTCTGCAAATAAATTCTAGGAAGGGGCCTCCTTTACTTGACGAAAGGTATTTTACGTAAGGCTCTTTCGTTTCCCTCCCTCTGTCTCTCTTTCTCCTTTCAACCTGCAGGCGCCGTCCTCCATTGTAGTTTTCACATGGCTCAGCCTCAACCTGATGTGATTCCTATTGCGGTTGATCCTCCACATCCAATGGAGACAAAAGAGGTCCTGATGATCCCACCAATTCCCTCAGATAAAATTAAGTTCTGCACCTGGTACCGTCAGCAAAAAGGGGGCGAAATGGAAGAAATCACGACGGTGTATCCGAAAGGAGGTGAAAACATACCTGGAGAAGGATTGGATGAGAGAATAATGGTCTACTCCAACTGCACCCTTCACATCAAGGAGTTAACAAAAGATGATAGTGCAGACTATGTGCTGGTAGAAGGAGGAGCTGGATTTTCTAATATGGGAAATGTCACCATAAAGGTTGAAGGTAAGGCTTGCTAACCCTTCTTTGTTGTTGTTTTTTAAAATTTTGGGACAAGGTGGCCATTCAGAGTCGCCGTGCGTGGAGGCATCGGCTTCAGCTACCATAAAGTCCTCCATGAATGAGAGCCTCCCTCCCTCATGGGATGCAAAAATTTGTACTACCGTTTCTGTGGGCGTGGCTTGGTAGGCGTGGCAGTGGAAGGATACTGCAAAATCCCCATTCCCTCCCCACCCCACTAACCTGCTTTCCAGCTCCGTTCTCCAGTACAGGGCAACCGAAGGAGACCCAGCCAATCAGCTGGGACTTGGGAGGCAGAGAATAGATGGGGTTGGCGGGACCAGTCAGAGGTGGGATTGGCCGGTTCTCCGAACTACTCAAAATTTCCCCTACCGGTTCTCTGGTTTCTACCACTGTGCAATTTGCTGGTAATAATCATCTGTCTTCTGCCTGCAGAGAATTTGCCAAAGCCAAATGTGATCGTCAAGCCAACCAATTTCCTGATGGAATTTCAGCCCGTTTGGTTATACTGCAATACTACCATCATTCAAGAAGTTAGCTGGTTTAAGGACAACATTCTTCTCGGCAAGGGCTACGATTTCACAGATTTCAACCGGAGCCTCCACGTTGCCTCCGTAAGCCCAGATAACACTGGGCAATACTGGTGCCAAGTCTCCAATGGTATCACTGTAGTGAAAAGTTACCCTGTATTCCTCAGTGTGATCTGTGAGTATTTGGTGTGCATCGCCTGCCGCTCAGTTTTACATGTCCCGTATAGGACTGTTATTTAAATTGCAAGGTCTCTTGTAGAGGACATGTTAAAATCCTTCTGACCCATGTAATGTCTTCTATCATAACGAAAACAAAACAAAAACCTATAGAGAGAATAAACTCTACTCTTTCAACAACAGCCTGGCCAAGGAAGGAAGGAAGGAAGGAAGGAAGGAAGGAAGGAAACTTGGCTTGAGGCTCATGGTTTAATTAGGGCAATCATCAGAACCTTGACAGAAGGAAGGAAGTGGATGGAGGGGGGGGGGGGAAAGGAAAGGAAAGGAAAGGAAAGGGGGGGAAAGGAAAGGGGAGGGAAGGGAAGGAAGAGAGTGAGGGAGTGAATGAGGGAGGGAGAGGATGGATGGAAAGAAGGAAGAGGATGGAGGGGGAAAGGAAAGGAAAGGAAGAGAGTGAGTGAGTGAGTGAAAGAGGGAGGGAGGATGGGAGGAAGGAAGAAAGGAAGAAAAAGGAGGGGGAAAGGAAAGGAAAAGAAAGGGAAGGGAAGAAAAGGGAAGGGAGGGGAAAGAAGAGAGTGACGGAGTGAATGAGGGATGGAGGATGGAAGGAAGGAAGAAAGAGGAGAGGGAAAGGGAAGGGAAGGGAAGGAAGAGAGTGAGTGAGTGAAGGAGGGAGGGAGGAAGGAAGGAAAGATTCAAAGGAAGGAAGGAATATAAATGAAAGGAAGGGAGAAAAGATTATGGACGTGTGGTGAGCCCCAAAGAAAATTGTTTTCTCATCAAGGCTTTGGGCCCCTCAGAGATGGGTTGTTTCCTTATTGCACCTGAGTAATTTGGTCCTGTCGTGACACAAAAAGTGCTTCAACCTTAACTGGGGGAAAGGACATCCACAGTGAGGCTAAACATCCTCTGAACGTCAGAAGGGAGAGAATTTATGATGTTGCTAAATGCGGTGAGAAGAGTTGGCAACACCCAGCCTCTCGGAAGCTGGAGAAGGTGAGGAACAGGGCAGGGGCGATCCAGCAGAAATCCATGACCAAACGGAGCCCGTTCCCTGGTCATAAAGAGAGGCAGCATTGCCTAGTAGCCAGTCCCTATCACCAACAGGGCTGGCCCAGTGGTGAGCCGCAACTGGTTTAACAACTGGTTCTGTGAGTGTGTGCAAACTGCGCGCAGGATTAAAAAAAAAAAAAAACCACCAATTTTAACTTCTACAGCTGACCTTCTAGGGCAGCAGAGCTAAGTAGAATAGCTGAGGTGCGGAAATCCATTGTGCCGTGCGAATCAGCTGAGCTGAAAAACACGGAAATATAGGATAGAATAGGGCGGGGCCAGCTGATCATCGGAACAACCAGTTCTCTATAACCGGCCCAAACCAGGAGCAACCCACCACTGGGCTGGCCCCAATGAGGAGTTAGCTAGACTTCCCAAAGGAGTCCGTTCTCTGCATTTCGGTTGAAACAGCAGCTAAATTCTTGATGTGCATAGGATGGTTGATGCTACCTTGCCCATAAGGAATTTTATCGATGAGGCAGCCCAATTCAGACATCCATTTGTGTCCTTAAAGATATGGAGGCTTCAAGGTGTGGAAGCTTCACGGTGAATGTTGTCTGTGGAGGTTATCAGTCATCCAGGTTGTGGTTATCCCATAAGTACTTTTTTCAAGAAGCAACTGAACTTTCTTTGTTTTTCCTTGAAGACGTTTCGCTTCTCATCCAAGAAGCTTCTTTAGCTCTGACTGAATGGTGGGGGATGGAAGAAGGTATACTCCTTGCAGTCTTCTGGTTGTTAGTGCTCTTCCTGAGAGTGCAGGGTCAAAGAGGCCATACACATTAAGAATGAACAGCCCTCTCTCAAACAGAGGTGGAGGGATACAACACCACAGATCTCGTGTTTACCACACGGCCCTTTCACCAGTTCCAAGAAGGCACCACACCCATTTGCACTATTCAGGTGACCCTGAGGGCACAGAGATAAACCTCCGAGTGGCCTCAACGACTCTCAGGAAGAGCACTAGCGACCAGAGGACTGCAAGGGATATAAATTCTTTCATCCTCCACCATTCAATCGGAACTGAAGAAGCTTGCTGTCAGGGTTCCGGTGATTGCCCAATTAAATCATGAGCCTCGAGCCAAGCTTCAAAAAGATCCAAAAGATTTATTAGGAGCGACATGTCGGCATTAACCTAAATGAAGCCAACTCTGGCATATGTAATTTACAGTCACCTGTGACCCTGTTTTCCCCCCCCTCCCCCCGGGTGTATCATAAATCAGATTCTCCAATGAAGCACGTTCACAGGGCTGGGTGTCATCAATCACATTCTCCAATGAAGGATTTTCTCAGGCAGAAGACCTGGTAGCCTAGCTACAATCTTTGTTAGATAAGGGTGGAATGTTCTTCTGGTTTTAAACTTCCATAGTGCTCCTTAAGATTTTTCCACACACACCCCCTTGTTTATGGCAACTCAAAAACAGCCATAGGGATGTTTTATGAGTTGACATTTCTCGGATGAGAAATGAAACTTTGTCAAGGAAAACGAAGGAAGTCCAGTTGCCTCTTGAAAAGGCACTTTGGGGACAACCAAGACCCTGCTCGCTCTTGCGTTTGAACGGCTGGAAGTATTCTGCCTAAATTGCTCTGTTCAAATTCAAAATTTTCTGCTTTGCATCTTCATCCCTAGATGGTCCAGGAGAACCTATCATCAGTCCAGTGGACGTCTGCAATGAAGAACACACAAACATCATCCTCTCCTGTAAGGCTGATGCATTTCCCCAGCCTCAGTATGCTTGGTACCGTGATGGTGTCTGGTTGGATGACGGGCGCAGATTATTCATCCAAAACTTCTCCGAGAGTCAAGCCGGGGGCTACGTCTGCGAAGCCATGAATGAGCTTCTTCACCAAAAGACGAGAAGCAATATTCAGCACATTCGCTTGAAGAAAAGTACGTAACTGCAGAGGGTTCAGCACTTGTGGCCCATTGTCACTCTGGGTCTGGTGTGTCGGAGCCCCCTTTCACCAGCATTGTTTTGTGGGACCTGCCACCAGGGGTGGTATTCTACTGGTTCGGTCTGGTTTTATAGAACCGGTAGCTCCAAAGAGCAGCTGACGCAGAACGGGCTCTCTCCAAAGATCGTCTTTTCTTTGGTTGGGCCCACTTGCCTGCCAGGCCTCTAGGCTGTCCTGTATTCTTACCTTAGTTGCTTTGCATGGCACAACTGAGTGCTGCATGTCAGCAGGATGTTTTATTTATTTATTTAGTCAAAAGCTTACCAATATAACAGGAACAAGAATAAACGTAAGTTTAAATACAAGAAATAGGAATGGATAATTGGGGACAATAGGACAGGGACGGTAGGCACTATGGTGCGCTTATGCACGCCCCTTACAGACCTCTTAGAAATGAGGTGAGGTCAATAGAGGTTAGTTTGAGGGTAAAGGAGTGGGAGTTAGAGCAGGTGACAACAGAATCAGGTAGTGAATTCCAGACATTGACCGCTCTGTTGCTGAAATCATCTTACTGCAATTGAGTTTGAGTGGCTTACATTGAGTTTATATCTGTTGTGTGTTCTTGTGTTGTTGTTGTTAAAGCTATGTTAAATGATATGGTGATTGCTTGCAGGAGAAGTTGTTTGCAAGTACTGCACAAAACATGCGCTCACTGAACCGGTTGTTATGCCGGTAGGATCCCACACCTGCCTGTCACAACTTAAATCTAGTGGCCCCCAATCTTTTGTGCACCAGGGACCAGTTCCGTGGCGAGAGATTTTTTTTGTGGACGAGTGGTTTTGCGTGCTGTCTGCATCCCACAGATGGGTTTCGCTTGCCCGGTTTCTGGCATGTCATGGCTCAGTGCCAGTCCATGGACCGGGAGTTGGGGACCCCTGGCTTAAACCTCAAAATAGAAAGGATCCTTGGCTCCATTGGTTGAAAAAGGCGTTGTTTGTTAGAGATCAACTGTACAGGTAGTTGTTGACTTATGACCACAATCGAGCCCAAAATATCTGTTGCTGAGTGAGACAGTTGTTAGACAGTTGATCTTCTGAGAAGCCAAGTCAAGAGGGAAGCCAGATTGTTCACTTAACAGCCATGTTACAAACTTAACAACTGCAGTGATTCACTTAACAACTGTGGCAAGAAAGGTCAGAGAATGGGGCAAAATTCATTTAACAACTGCCTTGCTTAGCCGCAAAAACATTGGACTCAGTTGTGGTTGTAAGTCAAGCACTGCCTGTAATAAATACATGTATTTATTTGTTTGCTTGGATCTCGCCTGTATCGTTTTTACAAGGCTGGAAACATATCCAGCAACTCCTTCTATTTCCTATTTTCCCCACAACAACAATCCTCCAAGCTCAGCCAACCATCTTTCATGCCTAAGGCAGGACTAGAACTCACCGTCTGCTAGTGATTGGCCCAAGCAGGTCCCCCATCTTTCATGCCTGAGGTGGGAATAGAACTAACAGCCTCCAGCTTTCTAGCCTGGTGCCTCAACCACTAGGCCAAACTGTCTCACCATTAATCCTCTCCATTCCTGCACTTTGCTTCTGTTGTGTGTCATTCCCAGGACCTTCTTCATCATCAACTCTTTTGCCTTCCTTGCAGGTTGTGTGAGCGGAGTGACTATCACTGGCCAACAAGAAGGCACAGAGGGCAAAAGCACCTTCTTGCACTGCACAGCCGAAGGTGACGATGTTGTGTATTCTTGGACCAAAGGAGACCAGCCCGTGAATGAAAATGAACGTATCAGTTTGACACCTGATGGCCAGACCCTCAATTTCAACCCATGCAATCGAAGCGATGCTGCTCAATATACGTGCCATGCTTCCAACAGCTTCTCTTCCGGTGACAGCAATCCCTTTGGCTTAACCATCATATGTAAGTCTGACCTTCTTCTCTGGAGTCATGCCAAGGCAGCCAACGTGCCTCGCTTTGGGTTTGGGTTAAGAGAGGAACAACCTCTTGTACGGAGGCTAAAAAAAGAATGGTTGCAGGAATGGAGTGTCTCTAGTTTGATGAAAAGAAAGACCAGGGGAGACATAACAGCAGTCTTCCAATATCTCAGGGGCTGCCCCAAAGAAGAGGGAGTCAAGCTATTCTCCAAAGCACCAGAAGGCAGGATAAGAAGCAACGGGTGGAAACTAATCAAGGAGAGAAGCAACTTAGAACTAGGGAGACATTTCCTGACAGTTGGAACAATTAATCAGTGGAACAACTTGCCTCCAGAAGTTGTGAATGCTCCAACACTGGAGGTTTTTAAGAAGAAATTGGACAACCATGTGTTTATCATATAGGGTTTCTTGCTTCAGCAGGGAGTTGCAATAGAGGACTCCCAAGCTCCCTTCCAACTGTTATTCTATTACTCTGTTATTCCTTCTTACTCCAGAACGGGAAAAAAAACTAGGAAAGTTAGGGAAAGGGTCGGCAACTAGAAAATCCAGCCAGCCATGTGCAGGAGCAGCCCCAAAAGCCAATGCAATCCTAAATTGCATTAACAGAGGGATACAATCGAGATCAAGGGAGGTACTAATACCACTCTATAAAGCCTTAGTAAGACCACACCTAGAGTACTGCATCCAGTTTTGGTCACCACATTATAAAAAAGATGTTGAGATTCTAGAAAGAGGGCAGAGATGAGCAATTAGGTTGATTAGGGGACTAGAGGCTAAAACATACAATGAACAGTTACAGGAACTGGGCCTGGCTAGTCTAGTGAAGAGAAGAACCAGGGGAGACAGGATAGCAGTCTTCCAATATTTGAGGGGCTGCCACAGAGAGGAAGAAGGGGGTCAAGCTATTTTCCAAGGCACCCGAAGGCCAAACAAGGAATAATGGATGCAAACTGAACAAGGAGAGATTCAACCTGGAAATAAGGAGGAATTTTCTGACAGTGAGAACAATCAACCGATGGAACCGAAGTTGCCTTTTGAAGTTGTGGGAGCTTCATCCCTGGAGACTTTCAAGAAGAGACTGGACTGCCATCTGTCAGAAATGGTGTAGGGTCTCCTGCTTGGGCGGGGGTTAGATTAGATCAGAGGTCACCAACCAGTGGGCCAGGGAAAATTTCCAAGAGAAAATTTTGGTGGTCTGCAGAGAAATGTCACCCCCCCCGCAAAGCAATTAATCCAGGCTGAGTGGGAACACAAGGCTTGCGTTGCTTGCATTGTGAACAACATGAGGTAGTGAGGGGAGGGGGGGAAAGGGCAAAGGGGGAGAATTTGCCCATGCACCCCACATGCCCCATGTGCCCCACAAGTCTGGCCTAGCCACCAGGCTGCACACAAGGAAAGCTGCAAGGCCTCCTGCTCTAAGAGGCTGCGCCGGCAAAGACTCATTTCTGGAGGAGTTTGAGGGAGAGAAAGAAAGACTTCTGCTGCTTTCTTTGCATGAAGCCAAAAGTCTCTCTCTCTCTCTCTCTCTCTCCCCTCCCTGAGAACGGAGCAGGAGATGGTATCCTGCGATCCCAAATAAAGAACGATCGATCGGTAGGAAAACAGGGTAGGGAATTTTCCTGCAGACTTTTGGGGGGATTTTCCCAGGGTCTCAGCCACTTTCTGCAGAGACCCTGGGAAAACGTCAGCAAGCCATCATCAGTCAAAATTCATATTAGTGGTCCATGGGATTTAAAATTATTGAGTTTTGGGGTCCCTGAGATCCAAAAGGTTTGTGACTCCTGTTCTAGGTGACATCTAGGGCAGTCCCTTCCCCAGACCTATTACACGAAATGAAATGGGAGCATTTTCCTTTTTTTTTCCCCCAGAAGATCGCAAGGCCATAACGTTGAAAGATATCTTTCTTTCGTTAAAAAAATGCACCTTTTTCTTGCAGATGGACCTGACCCTCCTTTTATCAATGAGACAATTAATCTCAATGAGGAAACAGTTAGCCTAACGTGCGTAGCTGTTGCCTATCCTAACACAACAAATGAGTGGTATTACAATGGACAGCTGGTTGAGAATAACCCGAAGGTGCTCATTCGGAAAATCGTCCCAGAGAATTCTGGGTATTATTCTTGTCGAGCAACGAATCCCAAATCTATGATGACAGGCGAGACCACTCTGGAGGTTGACATGATAGGTGAGTAGAAGATAGGGAAACCCTAGGTTAAAAAGCATGGCAAAAAATAATAATAATTGAGGGGTTCCTGCCTAGAGATGGAGGATGGACATACACCTAATATTACCTTGTGGTCTCTTTTTCTCTCATTAGGAAAACTAAAAAGCTTAAGACGCCGTTGAGGGACCTGTAAGTATGAGTTTTTTTCTGAGAAAATATTCAGGAATGGTTCATATTACCCTAGTTTTCCCAAGTGTTTTGATGTTTGCTAGACATCGGGGCAAGAATCCATGACTCTCATCTGGGATCTCCACAGAGTAGGTCAAGACAATCAAACTGGCAGCTACAGCGAGGAAGTGCCCCCTGGTTTTATCTGTGTAGCGTGTTCAATGCACGTAAAAACTAGGTGGTGTAGGAAAAATGAGGACACCCACACACGCCCCAGATGAAAATATAATTCGGAAAATATGAGGCTGTGCAGAGATGGTTAGATTGATATTAAAAAGAAAAGACGAAGATACAGAATATTACTCAACATGGAATATGTTTTACCAGTGGTTAGATATAAGAGAGAGAAATTAGAAGAAGAAGAAAGGCTATTACTACGTGTAAGTAAAAGATGAGCTATTATGACTATGATTATAAATAAGTTAACATTATTATTATCATTATAATTACAATCTTCATTATTATTCTTATTATCAGAACATTTGTTATTTCTCTGTAAAACGAAACAGACCCAGACAATGCGCTGTTTTCAAAGTATCTATGCGTAATTAAAATATAAAATAAAAATAAAAATCAGTGCTTTGATTACACCATTGAGTTTATTTAGTAGTCCTTAACCAGACAACCCCAACCGGAAGCAGAATTTCTGATGACAAGCCAGGCAGTTGTTAAGTGAGTCATGCCAGGTTTTTTGCCATGGTTATTCAGTGAATCTCTGCAGTTGTTTAGCGAGTCCTTTGAATCATTTTCGTTTTCAAATAGGTCCCCAGAACCTGGAACAAAAACTGTGCTTTAACCGCCTGGTGTGGTTTTTTTTTCCTCTTTTAGGTTTCTACTCTCTGATTTCTGAAACAAGCTGAAGCTTCGTCTGTTTTTACATCATTTTAAATTTTGATTTTTTGGAAAAAAACCCATCTACATTAAAGCCACCTTGTAGACTCCCTCAGGGCGCACGCCTGCCTCTGCATTACAAGAATGGATCATATCAATACCCATTTATCGTTTGGCTTTCCCTAATGAAAGAATGTATTGCAGTTCTTCAGCTGGATTGAGAGCAGTAGGGAAATTTGCACTCAATAAATCGTTCTCTTTGGCAATTGGGCTGCTTTGTTGTGGTGACTGTGTTGCTCTGTTGTTGTTCTTGTCAGCCTCCAAGTACAATATGGCGGACCTCTTGATTCTGTGGTGTGGGAGTCGGTTGTGTACACCAGCGTTATTAACTGGACTGGGTTTTTTAAAAAAAAAATCTTAACAAGATAAAAAACAACCCTTAACTCCACAGTCTATATATAATATATAAATTATTGCTTGGAATTCTCATAAGGTGCCCATGTCGTACGCCTTTAAAAAAAAAGTCCATTATGACCTCATCTCCAAAACTTGGGAGATAATTTTAGGATTACCTGTAGGAGCGGAAGGTTACTTGGAAGGAATTCTGCAGTGGCCCAGATAGTGTTGAATCACACACCAATTTCACAAGGTCAATGTCAGAGTCCCAAGTAATACATTCATAATAAACAGAGCTCCGAGGCAGGTTGGTTCCTCAAAAAATTGGTTTATTGGACATATCATATTGGCACAAACTGGTGAAAACCGATGCTGAATATTCCCGCAGTTTTCCCCTTATTAAAAACTAAACATTTCTCCCTTTTCCCAGTCAGTCAGTCACACGGTCCAATCAAGGTCCCATCCAGTTGCCAGGCAACGTGGCTCCCCGTCTGCACCAGCCACCGGTGGGAATGTCCTTGGTTCCCAGGAGAAAGTATTTTGTTTTGGTTACAAGCCCCTCTGTCTCTATTCCCCCTCAGCTGCACTGTGGCAACACTGAGCCTCAAAATGGTCAGGTCAGCTTCAGGGTTGACAGGCAACCCCCCCTTAATTGAAGAGGACTTCTTGCAAAGAAAAAAAGATTGCAGAGAGGTTACTCAATATTCACCTTAGCCTCTCTGCCCGTCCAACCCCAAGGGTCCCTTAAGCTTCCGGGGGTAGTTGTGGAACTGTTTAACCAACATGACTCCTTCACATCCCAGATTTTAACCCAAGTAGCCTGAGTCAGGTCAGCTTCAGGGTTGACAGTCATAACATCTCTACCCCAACATCATTCAATCTGCAACAAGGCTTTGCATTAGTAGGGATCAACCACATTGGGTTATTTATACTTTGCTTTGTGGATATGTAGACCATTTGCCATTCTTAAAACCTTGAGGCAGTTTCCTCTGAGAAGAAATAGAAAACATAAAAAGTAAAGCAACTGAACATAACACAGGATAAACTGAACCACGCATGCAGAGTTCAGGCTAACTATTTTACAGATACTCCGCGACTTATGACCACAAATGAGCCCAGAATTATTGTTGCTAAGCAAAACGGTTTTTAAGTGAGTTTCACCCCATTTTACAACCTATCCTGCCACAGTTGTTAAATGGATCACTGCAGTGGTAAAGTTGGTAACACAGTTGTTAAATGAATCTGGCTTGCCCATGGCCTTTGATGGACAGAAGGTCTCAAAAGGGAATCACATGACCCCAGGACACTATAACTGTTATAAATATGAACCAGTGGCCAAGCATCCAAATTTGGATCACGTGATCAGGGCGATGCTCCTTTGCAACAGTCATAAGTGTGAAAAACGGTCATAAATCTCTTTTTTCATTGCCGTTGTAACTTTGAACGGTCACTAAACAAATGGTTGTAAGTTGAAGACTTCCTTTATTATGTTCTCCCAGCCAACTCTTGGTAACAATCAGATAAGGCTCCAAGGAACCTGGAGGTGTGGGGAACGGTCCTAGGACTTTTGTGATTGCGCAGTGATTCTAGACTAGGGGCATATTTGATCCCTCCTCCCTGCCAGACTGGGCACTTCCCAACAGGGAAGTAGGCCAAAGTCCATTTTTCTCTTCCAAAAGACTTGCCAGAAAGTACCTGTAAGATGGCATTCTGTGCTTCGTAATACACCCAGGGACCTCATCCTGGCCTTCTTAGCTGTCGGTCAACAACATGAGACATGGTCAATCAGCTTTATTTCTAACTAGACAACCCTGTCAGAGATGGTATTTAGCAGGTTCTGACCAGTTTTGGAGAACCGGTAGTGGAAATTTTGAGTAGTTTGGAGAACCAGCAAATACCGCCTCTGACAGGCCCCGCCCCATCTATTCTCTGTCTCCCGAGTTGCCCTGCACAGGAGAACGGAGCTGGAAAGCAGGTTAGTGGGGTGGGGAAGGAATGGGACTTGGCAGTAACCTTCACCCAGGAGTGGGGAGGGTATGGAGATTTTGTAGTATCCTTCCCCTGCCATGCCCACCAAGCCATGCCCACCAAGCCACACCCACAGAATCGTTAATAAAAAAAATTGAATCCCACCACTGCCGCAGACCCCTGGGGGGGGCTATGATATCATCATAGGGGGACCACGGAGGCTTGAAGAAGGATCATCGCCCTGATCACATGATCCAAATTTGGATGCTTGGCCACTGGTTCATATTTATAACAGTTGTAGTGTCCTGAGGTCATGTGATTCCCTTTTGCGACCTTCTGTCCACTCTGGACGATCCTGTGATGAGTTAAGAAAAATATATATCACAAATAGGAAAATAGTAGTAGTGATAAATGCACTTCAGTAATAAATCAATATCTCCTTACCTGAATTGAGAAACAGAAAGACCACAGGTAGGCAAAAAAAGCAGGTATGGGAGTGACTTCCGACTTCCTGTTGGCTTCCCCAAGGACTTGTGGGAAGCTGTCGGGAAATGTTCAGAAATCATGTTGTGCAATACCCACAACTTTGTGAATAAAGCTGATCTAAAATAGATCAGGAAATTGGAACAATTCTTCAAGCCCATATATTGTCAACCAGTAGAAGATTGGGTGAGATGCTTCTAAAATACTCAGTCGAAGCCCAAATGATCACATAGCCTCATAAACGAAAAATGACATTGGACTTTGCATAGCCCTTTGTAATTAGTAAACTGTGTGACTCATGTTCTTTTAGCAAATAAAATTTTTACTGGTTCTAAATATACTGCATTATGGAGTTTTCATCCTTTCCCGTTACCGGCTGGGAATCCAGCCACACCTCTTCGGTTTGTGAATCCAGCCACACCTCTTTGGTTAGCAATGAAGAAGTCAGAAGTCAAGAGGGTGTCCAGATCTGATTTGCCAAGCTCCTGTTGGATCAAGCTTGGTCAGGATCTCTGATGGTTCCATATTTGGGTTTTGAAACCACGAAGCCTGAAGACCTTCTGCTTACACAATGCAGACAAAGCCACCATACTTGATGAATGGAGTACGTGGTATTCTTAGATGGAGAAGTTGGATGGTGCTTTGGACAGGTATGGATGAGAACCTCAAAAAAAAAAAAATAGAGTCTCCAAGGATTGGATGAGATCTTGGTTGGAGGGTTGGGTCTTCATTAGAAATGTTGATGCATTTATCTGGGGTGTTGTTGTTTTTTGTGAATGTAGGTGGACAGTTGGATTATCTCCAGTTTTAATGGCTGCTTAGTCCAACCTGTCTTGTTTAATTTATGTTCTTAATTGGTTTGATATAGTTTTATTTTTTGTAAGCTGCCTGGAGATCTGAATTGGCACCAGGCTTCAGTTGTTTTAACTTTTTAATCAGTTGAATTTTAATCAGTGTTCATAAGATGGGGAGCTGCCCAGAACTGGTTAAAAGATGAACAGTTGTTTTAATGTTGTAAATAAATAAATGAAATTAGAGTGGACTCCTACATTTAATCTAATTATTAATAATAATTCAAATTAGAATTGCTGAAGCTTCTACTAGGTTCCCTTTTTGCAGGTCTGCTCTATCGTTTCGACATTAATATTGGTCTTATATTGCAAAACAGGACTTTGGGGCCAATAATGGTTGTGAATTGCATTCCAGTTAATAAACTTATGGATCCTGAGACTTAATACATAACAAACAAACAAGCAAACAATCTGAAATGTCTTGCTCGAACCTCATAGATATATAGCATTGAAAAAATAATAATAATTTGGATCATTTGAACTCCAATATTTTTACATACTCAAAGGTCCCATCAATTGTATATAAAGAAGATTGCCCTTTCAATGTTGTGGCACACAAAGTGAAGTGAGCTTTCTGAACCAGTAGGAAAAATTTTTTGAAACCCACCACTGGACTAAGAACCATTATTTTTCTCTCTCTTTTTCTTTCCTCCTCTACTGCAGCCACTGTCTCTCTTTCTCTTTCCTCCTCTACTGCAGCCACTGTCTTCCATTTGGCCAGAGCCGAAAAGACAGTCCCTATCGTGTTAAACCCTCCAAATCCCATGGAGAAGCTTGACGTTATGTTGCATCCACCAAAACTTATAGATGGGATTGTCTACTGCAGCTGGTCCAGGGGCCTGTCTCCAGAAACAATGCAGGAAATTGGAATAAGATTCCATCCCCCAATAAACGGGTCCATGCAAGGACAGCAATATACGGGACGGGAGGACATTTTCCAAAATTGTTCCCTTTCCATCAGCAATTTAACCTTCCAAGATTCGGCAAACTACCTGTTGATAGAAGGAGGACCTGGACTTTTTATTGTAGGTTATGCAAACATAACTGTTGTAGGTATGTTTAATACCTTATTATTGCTGTTTTCTAAGATCTCATGCAAATAACATGTGCCCATTTATGCAGGTGAAGGGCTTCTGCTCTGGCTTCATAATACAGGCAGTCCTTGGTTCTATAAAGCCTTAGTAACTGTATCCAGTTTTGGTCACCACACTATAAAAAAGATGTTGAGACTCTAGAAAGAGTGCAGAGAAGAGCAACCAGGATGATTAAGGGACTGGAAGTTAAAACATACAATGGACGGTTGCAGGAACTGGGCCTGGCTAGTCTAGGGAAGAGAAGGACCAGGGGAGACAGGAGAGCATCTTCCAATATTTGAGGGGCTGCCACAGGGAGGAAGGGATCAAGCTATTTTCCAAAGCACCCTGAAGGCCAGACAAGGAATAAAGGATGGAAACTGATCAAGGAGAGATTCAACCTGGAAATAAGGAGAAACTTTCTGACAGTGAGAACAATTAACCGAAGGAACAGAAGTTGCCTTCGGAAGTTGTGGGAGCATCATCACTGGAGGCTTTCAAGAAGAAACTGGACTGCCATTTGTCAGAAATGGTGTAGGGTCTCCTGCTTGGTGGGGGGGTTGGACTAGATGACCTACAAGGTCCCTTCCAACTCTGATAATCTTTTAAATCTGATTCATTTAGTGACCTTTGGAAGTTTCAACTGCAGTGGGGGGAAAAAGACTTATGACCCTTTTTCACACTTATGACTGTTGCAGCATCTGGACTATCTGGCTTACTCCAGTTTTACTCATGTTTGATTCTGTACCCCAAAAGAAACACTAGGAAAATTGCCTCCACAATTGATCCTCGTTTCCCTTAAATGTGATTTGTGCTGTACAGTTTTTCCCTTTCGATGATATGGTTTTGGACAGTAAATTAATAAATGAGAAACTTTCTCTCCCTGTTAGGTTCAATAATTACAATTTCGTAACACTGATAGAAGAGAATAACTCGGGATTGAACTGTGGGTTCCTTGGTGCCCTCTGAGCTTGGGTGTTTACTTGCAGACATTTCATTCCCCAACTAGGTAAAGTCATCAATGCTAACTAAGGAGTGGGATTTGTTCTCTGTTTATAAACCCCATTCTATTGTAGCACTGGTCACATTACTCAATTGGGTACCAAAACATCTGCACGAAAACTACCAAGCTCAGAGAACATTCAGGACTCCACAATTTTTCTAATAGCTTCAGGAATCTCCAGAAGATATAATTAAAACATGGCCATGGGGCTTTGGGTCTTGCACAAGGATTTCCCGCTAGAAAGGCGAAGGTGCTGGCTTAGAAACCAGGAGACTGGGAGTTCTAGTCCTGCCTTAGGCATAAAAGCTGTCTGGGTGACTTAGGACCAATTACCAGGAGACTGTGAATTCTAGTCCTGCCTTAGGCATGAAAGCCAGTTGAGTGACTTTGAGCTAATCTCTCTGTTTCAGTCCAACTTAACTCACGGGTTTTTTGTTTTGGAGATTACAAGAGGAGAAAATTGTATCGGATATGTTCACCACCATGAGTTGTTTGTAAAAATAATAAAGGTAGGATTCAAATAAATAAATATATACATATACATTTTAAAAAGCTGCTCGTAATAACACTCTTTCTCCTGTCTGCAGATTTTCTGCCCAAGCCAAATGTGACTGCAAAACCAAGCAACGCCATTGAGGAATTGCATCCAGTTCATTTCTTCTGCAATGCACCCAATGACCTAATGATTACATGGTTTAAAGATAGAGAACTTTACACTAATGAGTCCCATCTCTTGGACAATAATAAGACTCTTTTAATTCCATCTGTAACCAAGAATGATACTGGGGGATATCAGTGCCAAATTACCAACCACACCAGCACAAGAATCAGTGACATTTTCAACTTCAACGTTGTCTGTAAGTATTTGTCTTTCAAGATGTCTAGCTTGGTCTTAGCTCTCAAGTTCACCAGCTCTGAGATGTTCTCCTAACCTCATCCCTCAGGCCAAGGTGGGTAGGTGGGTGGCTTAGGGTTAGGGAAACTCTACACCCCGTGGATTTCAGCTCCCAGAATTCCTGAGCCAGCATGGAATTCTGGAGGTAGACATCCATGGCCAATATGGAATTCTGGGAGTTGAAGTCCATAGACAGCATGGAATTCTGGGAATAGAAGTCCATAGCCAACATGGAATTCTGGGAATAGAAATCCATGGCCAACATGGAATTCTGGGAGTTGAAGTCCACAGATCGTAAAGTGGCCATAGTTGCTCTCTGCTGCCTCAGGAAGTCCTTGAGATGGGACCATTCTACTTGGACGCCAAGCATGGCAGTTGCCACAGGCAGGAAACTTTGGTGTTATATCAGAAAATGGAAGTATTTTTAATAAGAGTCACACAATTCTGTGCAGGGTGGAGAGAGAGAGAATTTAAATTCTCTTTAAATAGATAGGTGAGGGTTCTTATCAAGGGTTTTATGTCCTTTAATGAGGATTTGCTTCCCTTATTGCATATGAGTAATTTGGCCCTGCCTTGTCAAAAAGGGCTCTGCAAGTCACAAGGAATTTATGATGTTGGTAAACGTTGAGAAGAGAAGGCAACACCCAGCCACTTGGAAGAACAACTGGAGAAGGTGGGGAACAGGGCTGGGCGATCCTCCAGAAATCCATGACCAAACAGAGCCCATCCCTTTCCCATAAAGAGAGGCAGTGCTGCCTAGTAGTCATTTCCTAACCCGAACAAGGCTGGTCCCAATGAGGACTTAGATACAATTCCCAAAGGAGTTTATTCTCTGTATTCGAGTTAAAACTAAATCTGGTGTATTGAGTTAAAATTCATCTTTAAGCTAAAGCATCAGGCTAGAAACTGGGAGATTGTGAGTTCTAATCCTAGCTTAGCCATGAAAACCAGCTGGATGATTTTGGGCTAATCACCAGGAGATGTTGAGTTCTGGTGTCGCCTTAGGCATGAAAACCGACCAGGTGACTTTGAATCAATTACCAAGTGCTGTTCTGTATTTCTAGAGACAACAATCTCTCATGTTTTATTTAAGTTAATTCATTTCTATGGGCACTGCAGACTGTCATATATATGCCCAAACATCTATGCATGGATGTAACCCCAAAATGACAGTGAGTAGAAATGACTAGCTTCCCAGTGGTGAGAACTAAGAATGGGAAGGGCCATCCTCAGAGTTGCGCACCTAGATTTTATGGGACACACCTCACTCCCACTGAGTTGCTGTTTCTGGTTTTTTTTTTTAAATTACTTCAAATAATCATCTCTGTGTTCTATCTAATCCGGCACTTCCTAACTATGGCAACTGGATGAGTAGACTTCAACTCCTAGAATTCCCCAGCCTGCAAGTCTGACTGGGGAATTCTGGGAATTGAAGTCCGCATATCTTCAAGTTGCCAAACACTGTTCTAATCTGTGAAAGGGTCTTTCAGACTGAAATAGTAAATGGAAGGTATGCAATTCATCTATATCTGTATCTGTCTGTCTGCCTCTCTGTGTGTGTTAGAAATTCTGCTGATCTATAGCACCACAGAGCAAACAAAGAACACAGTCACCATGTGCTTTACTGCTGAACTGTTCAACTGTAACAGGAAATAGGAAGCTATGCTTACTACAAAAGAACATAGAGTATATATCATAGATCCAAATTTGTAAGCACTGCCATTTACTGGCTGCATGCTACTGTAGTTGTTGCATAAAAAATTCATCCCAACAATGAATTCCAACAATATATTTTCCCAAGATGGTCCAGATACACCTGCAATCGAGCCAACCCAACGATATTATAACGAACACACTAAAGTTCTGCTCACCTGCAAAGCTGATTCATTTCCCCAGCCACGATATGTTTGGTTTCATAATGGAAAGAAAATAGACACCGGGCCAAAATTATTCCTTGAAGATTTCGTGGAAGACAAAACGGGGAGCTATATCTGCCAGGCTGGAAATGATCTTCTTCAGAAGAAGAGAAACAGCAGCAGCCTGGAGATTTACTTGGAAAAAAGTGAGTAACTAAGGTGTGGTTGAAAGTTGTTATCCATAGCCACTATAGGTAGTCCTTGACTTATGATCACAGTTGGGACCAGGCTGTCAGGATTCCGGCAGTTACCCCCAATTAAATCATGAGTCTCGAGCCAAACTTCCAAAACTTCAAAAGGATTTATTGGGAGTTAACATGGCCGGCACTGCCTGGGTGTAGCCGACTCTGAGACACACAGTTCACTGTCTCCCTTGACCCTGGTTTTCCCCCACCCCCTGGGTGTATCATAGTTCATATCCTCCAATGGGACACATCCATAGCCCAGAGTCATCAATCATGCTCTCCATTTAGAGATTTGCACGGCAGAAACTTCAGTCGCCTAGTTACTATCTTTGAAAAACTATTTGTGGAATGCACTTTTGATTTCCAGGCTGCCACACTGCTTCCCTCTCCCTTTCTGTTGGCAACTCTAAAAAGACCATAGAAATATTTTATGAGTTGACACAGACTTGCCGTTGCTAAGTATGACAGTTGTTAAGTGAGCTGGATATGATTTTATGATTATTTTTTTTGCTACGGTTGTTACGGGAATTACTGCAGTTGTTAAGTGAAACATACAGTCATTAAGTGAATTTCACCTTCCCCCCATTGACTTCACCAGGGGACGTGCAACTGTAATAAGTATCTGCCAGGTGCCAAGCACCCAAATTTTGATCACATGACCATGGAGAGGCTGCAATGGTTGTAAGGGTTGATGTATCTGTGCTTTCTCTGGAAGAAGACAATCTTTTTCTTATTGAATACAGTTTGTCTTTGACTTATGAACAGAACTGATCCCAGAACCTCCATTGCTAAGCAAGGCAGTTGTTAAATGAGTTTTGTTCCATTTTATAACCTTTTTGTGCCACCCTTGTTAAGTGAATTACTGCAGGTTGATAAGACAATCTGGCTTCCCCTATTGGCTTTGTTTGTCAAAAGCCAGCTAGGAAGGTCATGAATAGCAACAGCAATAACACTTAGGCTTATATACCACTTCATATTGCTTTATAGCCCTCTCTAAGCAGTTTACAGAGTCAGTCTATTGCCCCCAATAATCTGGTTCTCATTTTACCAACCTCAGAAGGAGGAAAGGCTGAGTCAAACTTGAACCAGTGTGTTGTGGCCTGTCAGTTGCCAGCCCCTCTGGCAACCAAATCAGAGGAGGGGGGCGGTGTGGGAGTCAGGATCCGCGTTAAGGCAATCTGAGAATTCCAAGTGGAAAGAGGGAATGGAGCTGTCAGAGAGAGAGAGAGAGAGACAGAGACAGAGACAGAGATGGAGGCGGAGCCTGGGCTGTCTGTCAGCCCTCAGATGGAGAGTCAACAACCTTCAGGTCTGAAGGTGGCTGATGAGGAAGAGGAGGAACAGCTGGGCCCAGTGCCTGGGGCATGGATGAGCAGAAGGCAGAGGAGAGGAGAGCAGTGGAAATCTATGGGCCGGTCCTTGGAATAGAAGAGCCACCGCTGCTAGCAAAGCCCCAGACTAGCTCTGGGGATAAAAGGCAGGGGTTGGAGATGAATAGATGTGGCAGACACTGTTCATGTCCCCTGCTGGACAGACTGGTTAGCCTGAGGTGAAAGAGAAACTTTTTGACACGGCTGCTGGCGCTCCTAATAAAGGAATCATTGCTTCCGTTACGGGGGTTTGTCATGGTTGGGGAGCTGGGTCAGAACATGGTGAGGTTCGAACTGCTGAACTTCCGGCGGCCGGCAGTCAGCAGAAGTAGCCCGCAATACTGCATTCTGACCACTGCACCACCACGGCCCTTGGCGATCACATAACCCCCGGAAAGTGCAACTGTGATAAATCCACTTCAGTTGCCAAGCAGAAGAATGTTCATCGTAAGACTGTAGGGATGCTGCAGTGGCCATACGTGTGAGGACCAGTCATAAGTCCATGTTTTCAGTGCCCTTATAACTTTGAACAGTCACTAAATGAGGACTACCCGTAACTGTCCACATTAGCTTCCCCGTCACTGATTTTCCCCACATTACAACCATTCGTCCTATCCACTCCTGAAATTTGCTTTTCATGTGCCGCTCCAGGCCTTCCTCCCCTGGTGAGACCTTCAACATTGCCTTTCCCCGTTCCCACAGGTCGTGTAAGCAACATTACCATCAATCATCCACCTGAGGCCATCGAGGGCAAGCTAATCTCCTTGCACTGCATGTCAAGAGGTGACAATGTTTCATATTCCTGGACCAAAGGGGGCCAGGTGGTCCGTGCCGATGGCCGCATCTCTTTGAAGAACAACAACCAGACCCTTGAGTTGAATCCAGGGTACCGAAATGATACTGCAGATTATATTTGCCATGGTAACAACAGCATCTCTTCCAACCAGAGCGAACCCTATCACTTGGACATTATCTGTAAGTCTGATCTTCCTGTCTTGAGTCATGGCATGATTCCTGAGTACTTAACCTTCTTCCTCGGTGGTCTGCCATTTTGTATAATCTCAATCCATTTGATTCGTGTGCGGGTCAGTTTAGGTCCTAGAAACTGGGTTAATTCTGGGTTTTTTCTTTTCTTCAGTTGGACTCAGTCAGTCTGGTTCAGTGTTTATCAAACTTGGCAAGTACATGGCTGGCTGGGGAATGCTGGAAGATGAAAACAACATGTGTTAAACTTGCCAAGATGGCCGGCTGGGGAATGCTGGGAGCTGAAGTCCACATGTGTTAAACTTGCCAAGATGGCTGGCTGGAGAATTCTGGGAGATGAAGTCCACACATCTTAAATTTGCAAAGATGGTGGCTAGGGATCTGGGTGGGAGCTGAAATCTTAAACTTGCCAAGTCTAGAAAGATTAGTGCAGTTTGCTGACCACGGTAGTCCTTTTAACTGACACATTAAATAGAATAAAAAGAGAAGGTTCTTGCTACTTCAGAACGTTGCAAGGATGTTCTTTTGAAAAGTGTTCCTCCGCTTAAAAATAATCCTAAATATGCTTGTTTCCTCCAGATGGACCTGACCCTCTGATTATCAACGAGACTATTGATGTCCCAAAAGCGCAGATCAAACTGACTTGCAAAGCTGTTGTGCATCCTCCTGCCGTTTATACTTGGTTTTATAATGGAACAGAACTGGATAATAGGATTTTCTTTCTGAAAATTAGCCCAGAGTATTCTGGAAATTATACTTGTAGTGTGATTAATCCAATCTCTTTCCTGAAGAGAGATGCCACCTTGGGGATCAACATGAAAAGTGAGTAGTCAGAACAAGAAACTCCTGATCATTTGCCAAATACAATACATGCTGGCTGGAGAATTCTGGGAGTTGAAGTCCACAGTCTTAAAATTGCCAAGTCTGGAGAGCCGCCTGGCCAAACAGATTGAGGAGCCTGTGCCTTGGGACTGAAGAGGTTTCCCCCTCCCCTCCCCTCAAGGTTGGAAGCACGTGGTCCCTTGGTGATACAAGGAAGGAAGAGGATTGCATTCCTTATCACATTGCTGAGGTCGCTTTCTCTTTTTCTCTTTTTAGGAAAGTTTAAAAGCCTAAAATAGAAATGAAGGATGGAAAGACAAGGGTGTAAGTATCAATTCTACAGAAAATATTCAGGAATGATTCATTTGCTCTAGTTTCCCTAAGTTTTAGTTTTTCCTATCCGTTTGGCTATCATCCATCCATCCATCCATCCATTCATCCAGTTATCATCTACCTATCTATATCTTTCTCTTCATCTCTCCATCGATCTCTCCATCTATCTCCATCCAGCCATCTCTCTATCCATCCGTCATCTAACATTCTGTATCTATCTGTCTGACTATCTATCTATCATCTATCTATCTATCTATCTATCTATCTATCTATCTATCTATCCATCCATCTATCTATCATTCTATCTATCTATCTATCATTCTATCTATCATTCTATCTACCTACCTTTCATATCTATCTATCTATCTATCTATCTATCTATCTATCTATCTATCTATCTATCTACCTACCTACCTTTCATATCTATCTATCTATCATCTATCTACAGTATCTATTTATCCATTTGTCCATCTATCAATCAACTTTACATGGCCTCCCATTTCATAACAAGTGATTCTGGACAGCATATAGCAAAAAAAATATAAAGTGATAAATCAAATGTAAAAGCTTTGCTTGCCAAAAAGGATTTTGAAGGTCAAAATCTTGAACTGAACCCAGAAGCAAAATGGGTAACTTAATAAAGTAACTAGTTTCATAAAACTCATAAGAACTTTCTTTGTAATGTCTTTCTTATATAAGAAATGATATGTTACTACAGAAGACAGCAACATGCTCCATTATTTCTTATTCAGTTGTAACTATTCCTCTTTTCTCTAATGCTAATCTTAGTACAACTCAGGATACATAAAAGCACACCTGTAGTTAAAATCAAACTTTCCAGCGGAGGGTTTTAAAACCAAGATGTGGAATAAAAATTGTATCTAATAGACTATTTTCCCTTTCAGCTTTCATTCTCTGATTTCTGATGGAAAACACCAAGGCAAAAAAAAAAGTAAAAACAGCAGCTCGTTTGAGACTTCAGCTGCTTCAAAATCACTTCGATTTTTTGAAATCTGTACCTCCCTCTTTAAAGCCAAGTCCTTGGAGATCTTATCCATGCAAATATTAATTACCCTAAGTTAAAAACAAATCATGATCACTATGTATTAGGGTGGCCATTTTATTCTCAAAGGCATAGGATTCGGATCTTCTAATTGCATTTTAAAAGTGCTTTGAATCATTGGTTATTCATACATGACAGAAGAATGTCCTTGCTTTGTTTAAGTTCTTATGATAATGTATTCATTCCAATACTTGCCTATGATTTCTCACGTGTGCAGAAAATGTGTGCAGTTAATCACAAATGCACAGAGAAGCACGGAAATTTGTATTCAATAAATCTTTCCCATTGAGCTGTTGCCATTGTGCTGTATTTGTTTACATTGTCATTGTTGTTGTGCTGTTCTCGTGGATCTCTTGCTGTTGGTGGGGGGGACAGTCGCAAACACCCTTTCAAATTAGCTAGGGCATATCCTATGAGCAATTATCCGACGGGATCAAAAACATCTTATAAGTTTAGTATAACAGAATTATTAGACGTCTTCTAGTTCAACGCTCTGCTCAGGAAGGAAACCCCTATACCATTCCAGAAAAAATAGCCGTCTAATCTCTTCTTTAAAACTTCCAGTGTCGGAGAATTCACAACTTCTGGAGGCAAGCAGTTCCACTGGTTAATTGTTCTGTCTTCTTAGTTCTAGGTTGCTTCTCTCCATGATCATAAGTACCATTTTATAAAACTTTTGTAAGACCGCCCTTTGATAGAATACTATCAGTTTGGGTCACTACATTACAAAAAAAGATGTTAAGATTTTGGAAAAAGTGAGATGATTAAAGGAATCGGCTATGGCTCGTCTAGAGAAAAGAAGAACTAGGGATGAAATGATAGCACACAGGTCCAATATTTGAGGGGCTGCCACAAAGATGAGCGGGTCAACTTATTTTCCAAAGAGAAGGCTGGACAAGAAACAACGGATGGAAGCTAATCCAGGAGAGAAGCAACTTAAAACTAAGGAGAAATTTCCTGACTGTTAGAACAATTAATCAGTGGAACATCTTGCCCTTGGGCAGAATAAAAATTTAAAAAAAAGATAGTTTCCTTGCACAATTATTTGAACTCGTATTCTTTTTGCAGATAAAATCCTCTCTGGTTCTAAATCTATTTGATTCTATTTCTTTTCCATTACTCTTTATGAAGATATAAGAAACATAAGGAAACATCTGACAGAGCTTCCACTACTTGTATTCTTCATAGGGAAGAAGATTTCAGAAGAAGAAAAAGAAGGTTTTTTTTTAAAAAAAAACCACTTCAAACTTGATTGCAGAAAGGACGACTTCAGCGTCAATGCCTAGCAACAGACTACCTGACTCTGTTGTCATATCCCCAAACCCATACTCCTTTCCCCTCAAACTAACCACTATTGACCTCACCCCATTCCTAAGAGGTCCGTAAGGGGTGTGCATAAGTGCACCATAGTGCCTACCGTCCCTGTCCTATTGTCCCCAATTATTCGCACCTACTTCCTGTATTTATACTTATGTTTAGTATCTTATCTTATTATAGTATATAAAATCATACCTTGCAATGTCCTACCTGTCAACGAATGCTTCAGCTTCAACCTTAACAATACAAGAGCACACAATAGAGACACACTGAAGGTTAACCGCTCCAAAATTTGATTGCAGGAAATACGACTTCAGCAACAGAGTGGTCAATGTCTGGAATACTCTACCTGACTCGGCGGTTTCTTCCCCAAACCCCAAAAAGTTTAACCTTAGACTGTCTACTATTGACTTCACCCCTTTCCTAAGAGGCCTGTAGGGGGTGTGCATAAGTGCACCAACGTGCCCACCATCCCTGTCCTATTGTTTCTTTATATTTTTCTTATATGTATCCATTTCATGTATTCATAACTATGTTTATGCTCGCACCTATTATCTTGTAAGCGATTGACAAATCAAATAAATAAATAAAATAAATAAATCTTGCAAGCCATTGACAAATCAAATCAAATAAATAAATAAATAAGATTAATGTTGGGGCTATTGAAATCGCAGAAGGGAGAAGCGCTTACCCAAGAAAAGGAAAAGAAATAAAGGAGATTTTGTGACGAAACAGACTTGCCCTTAATTAAATAAAAGTATATCCTTGCCATAAATGTAACTAAATATCATTCTCTTTAAGGATGAGAACTTTTCCTTCCAATTATTCTAGTTCATTTTTTGTTGCCAAATACACATAAGTCTGAACCCCAGCAGTTTCTGGAATTGACCATTTCTGCAAATAGTAGGAAAGCTTCCTTTTGATATGCCTTCTTGGCTTAATATACAACTCAGACGAGTAAGGTTTAAGGATTCCCGTGGGATTAACCGTGTTAATTTTAGATTTACTTACGTATCTGCCAAAAAGAGTCTTTACTCTTTAGGAGAAATTTCTGTCTGT